CCTCTGAAGTACTGCCACCACTACTTTGTATATATGGAGTGTATGAGAGCTGAATTACCTGGTTTTCCCCCTTTGTTTTATTTTCTTAGTTTTCCAAGGGAACTTTTTATCCATCTTTTTGTTATATTTTTGGATGGCCTCTGCAAACATGCCCTCTCAGTCCTGCTCTTCACAACACTCTCAATCTTTCATTTGAGTGAACTTAACATAAAATATTAATAGACAAAATACTGGGCCTTCTTATAAAATATGTGAATCTAATTCACTTGTCTTTCTGCTTGTCACGAAAACAGTCATTGAAATTAACAATATAACACACTAAGAAAATTTTATGTTAAGTGAAACCCTGAAGACACTAAGGAAGGAGCACACTGGGTATCACAAAGTGGGGAAAGGGCCAGCCGGGCTGGGAGAGTTAAAGAAGGATACTAGGAGATCCTCATTAATCTTTTTGGCTTCACACACAACCTGGAAATAATGGATGACTGTGACCGACAAAGTGTTACGTGGTAACAGATAGACAGGTGGGTACTTTAAAATAAGTAAATAAATAATTAGTGAAAGAAATTTCTGAGAAATACAATTCCATTCATACATAACATGTTCTGTTGGTCTCCACTTGGGTTCAAGAAATTATGTCCCTCTGTAACACACAGCAGTTACATATCTATAAAACCATATATATAACTACATAAAGAATTATTTAACTATATATATAGATAGACAGAAACACACACATATATGTACACTTCCTTATATATAAGCAATGTAATATTCCTAATTAATTTGCTTTTTATATGCTTTGCTAATTAGTTTTGAGAAAATCCATATCTGGTTTATGGCCTGGTACATTTAGGATAATTTTGGTTGAAAATAATAGAAAAGACTGAGTATCTCCTTTTCTCTAGTCTCAGTTCAAACCATCATCTTCAGATAGATTTCCCTTTTGGTGGGACGATGGATGATTCTTAGATGTTTCTTAGAAGAGTAAGTAGTCCACCTAAAATGCTAAACATCCTAATGCGTGTGAGGTTGTAGCTCATTGTGGTTTTTTATATTTCCCTATGATTAATGATTTGAGCATCCTTTAATGTGGTGATAGGCCGTTTCTAAATCTTCTTTTGGAGAAATGTCTATTCAAATCCTGGTCAATCAGGTTGGGTTTTTCTTTTGTTTGTTTAGTTTTGATTTTGTTGCTGAGTTTTGGGAGTTCTCTGTATATTCTGGGTATTAATCCCTTATAAGGGAAATTTTCTCCCATTTTTTAAATTTGCCTTTTACTCTATTGAGGTACAAAATAATTGAAAGTAGCGTCTTGAAGAGAGATTTGTACCTCCGTGTTAATCACAACATTACTCACAATAGCTAAAAGGTGGAAGTAACCCAAGTGTCCATGATAGATGAATGGATGAGCAAGATGTGGTGGTCTAGACAGACACTGGAAATTTGGGGGTGCAATATCCAGCCATAAAAAGAAGGAAATTCTGACAACTGCTACAACATGGATAAACTTTAAGGACATCATGCTAAGTGAAATAAGGCAGTCACAAAGGACAAACACTGTATGATTCCACTTACATGAGGTACCCAGAGTAGTAACATTCCTAGAAACAGTTAGTATAATGTTGGTTGCCAGGGCTTGTGGGGAGGAGGGAATGGGGGCTCCTGTTTAATGGGTATATAGTTTCAGCCTTATGAGTTTTGGAGCTGGTTGGTGGTGATTGGGTAACTGTGAATTTACTTAGTAGCAATGAACTATACACTTAAATGTGGTTAATATGGTAAATTTTAGGTTATGTGTATTTTAACCACACTAAAAAATATTTTGGAAAAAAAAAACCTGAAACTAGGTAAGCCACCAACCTGCATATTAAAACATGAAAGTTCTTTCCAAGTTAACTCTATTTGCCGTTTAGTGTGGAAGTCCATATTAACTGGGAAAAATTTGTTTAGCCTTTCACATAGACTCCCTAAGCCATAGGTTTTTCTAAGAAACAAAAGCATACCAAACTGAATAAGTGGATTTCAATTGTTTTCCAGTCATTTCATGGGTGAAATTATTTCGCCTCATACTTAAATTATAAATCGGTACTAAAGTAGTAAATCATGTAATGTTTAGCATTTTAGTTGGACTACTTACTGTTCTAAGAAACATCTAAAATACTATTGATTTTTGATATCCTTGTAGTGTGAGTGTGGTTTTGAGCTGCATCTTAAATTAGAACTCTGGCAGTAGGCTGATTGACATAGGCAGTGGTCTGCCACTAAAAATACTGTGAATTTCTATTTTCTGTTCTCCTTCACTACAGTAATTCAGTCATTGTGCCAGAAAACCATGACCTGGACTATGCCAAGAAGTTGACCAGCGAATGTCCTGTTTCCAGAGAATGTGAGCTCAATAACCCTTGCGTTACCCCCGAATGCGATTAAAATGTCAAATGTTTGGAAACCAAACACCACGTGGGCAGGAGCACAGCGGGTCTGCGGTTATCTCCTGCCGCGGACGGTGGAGGGGCCGGCGGCTGCACCTGCGTGTCCGGCTCCTCAGAGCCCCGCCCCGCTTCTGGAGCACAGCCCCTCCCCCGGCACAGGACGCAGGCCCCTCCCCATGCCCCGCCTCCAAGGGCAACCACGCCGCCTCACCTGTATCCCCGTATGAGCACCGTTCCCCGGGGTGCAGGCCACGTCCCTCCGCCGCACTCCGCTGGGAAGCTCAACCCTGCCTCTTCCACAACCGCCTGCGCAGTGGCGGCTGGACGGCCGCACGGTGCTTCCTGTGTTGCTGACCCTCTCAGGCCTGGGCCGGCTGACCCCCGTGGGCCCTCGTGAGCGCAGGAGCCCGCTCCTCGGGGGGCGGGGGTGCCCGGGCGGGCGGCGGTGCCGGGGGCCGCGGGGCCTGACGGCCGGAGAGCTCCGCTCGGGCCTGGGCACGGTGTCCCGCCCTGGCCTGACCCTGCACCCGCGGGAGAGGGCGCGCACCCTCTGCGGAGTTGCGGAGGGGGACCCGGTCGGGGGCTTCTGAGACCAGCCCTTCACCTACGCCCCTTCTGGGGAAGCCTCGGAGGGTGCTGTCCGGCCCTGGGGACGCTCACACACGTTTTCCTTACTGCAGACGCTGGAACATCACTTCTGCAAGTTACAGAACCACAGAAGATCGAGACACACACCAGTGATGATGTTTCTTACATGCATGCCATTAAGAACACATTCTGTATATTTTCTGTGTATTTTAAATAAATGGATACATATCCATTCTTTAAGATTATATTTGTGTTCATATTTACTTTGTTAATGAGTTACGTTGTATGAATGAGAGCAATCGTTTTGGTAATTTAATTTTTCCCAAGTACTATATAAACGTAGTGGAAATATTTTTAAAATACAGACTCAGGAAAAAAAGTGACAAAAATTTCTCTCTCTAAAAAATGTATAATTTAAATACTCTTACATAAGTGAGATTATACTAACACGTTTGATTCTTGGGGTAGGTAGGTTCTGTATCAAGTCCCACCACACGGAGTCAGCTAATGCTGAATCATTGCTTCAAGGGGAAGTATGTAGATCTCTCATATAGATCATCTTAAATTCTAAAAGCAACTCATCCGGGAAGATTCTATTTTCTCTAGGTCACAAAGGATCAAAGGACGCTCAGAAGTGAGAGTGACTTAACGTTAAACAACAGGCAAAGGACCTGAACAGACATTTCCCGTAGAAGATGGCCAACAGACACAGGAAGAGATGCTCCACATCACTGGTCCTCCGGGAGATGCAAACCCAAGCCCCGAAGAGACAGCGCCTCACGCCTGTTAGAATGGCTGGTACCAAAAAGACAGGAACTAGCAGGTGCTGGCGAGGATGTGAAGAATAAGGAAATAAGTACTCTGTTGGTGGGAGTATAAATCAGTGCAGCCACTACGGAAAACAGTACAGTTTGTCATAAAACTAAAAATACAAAGACCATATGACCTCATAAATGCCACTTCTGGGAATTTACCTGAAGAAAAAAACCCCCACTAATTTGAAAAGATACCCACCTCTATGTTTATTGCAGCACTGTGAAAGTTATGAACAAACGTCTTTTAAAAAATAAATTTATTTCGGAAAAGGAGAAAAATCCAAGGAATTTAATAATTACAGAAAAATAAACTTTTTGAAGAACAAAAACAGAAAAGTTCCCATTTACTCTTCACTGAGTCACCATGTCCAAATACTTCCCAGATATATGTTCTAACAAATAACGTTTCTTATGCTTTTAAAATTTTTCCAGTGCCTGTGTCAAACTGTTTTAAATCCTGTAAAGTCTAGCATAATGTGAAAATAAAAATACACCAATATCCCAATTTTGAAATTTAACCTCAAATAGCTGATTTGATAATTCACTCTATACAAGCATATTATATAAAAGCTAGATTTATATCAGAAAGTACTGATTTTTAATTAACATTGCGGGAATATCACAATTCTAACTTAAAGATATAAAGTGTGGACTGTTTATGTGTATTTCAATATTTTATATAATTTTTAACTGTTGTGTGATGTTTTATAAATTCTATAGTGGGTGGCACAGTTAAATTCTTAATGGCCAGAAGTAGAAGTCACGTCCTTTTCCTATAATAACAGGTATCTCATAATTGACCCAAGAAAAATTAGGTCCAGTTTTAAATTTGCTTTCGGAGTAATTAAGGCAATAAAAAGGAAACCCCAGCTCTGATATATCTTTAGTGGAGACGGAGGAGGCAGGGAAGCAGAGAGCCATGAAACAAGCTCTATCTACCATAGCGTAACTGCTTCACATTAGCTTAAACACAATGTTTTTGCACGACTATTTCCAGTTAATTTCTATGTTATATAAAACTTTCCTAATTTCTTTTAAGTAAATCTCTTCTAATCAAATTGTGCATATGATGTTTTTCGTAAGTTACAGAATCCTTGTCTCTTAATTAGGATATTAAATTCATTGATGTAAGTTATTTTGGTTGTGATTTTGGTTGTTTAATAATGTATTCTTATGAATTTGGTTTGTTCATTTGGACAAAATTTCCATATATTTTATTTTTCTAATTGTCTTAGTTTTATAAAAACCTACACAAACACCTATTTTTCTAATTAAAATAATCAAAATTATAATATCATGATACAGGACATGTGAAGTTTTAACTTAGTAACTATCATTAAATGCTTGTTAAAATGAGGTTATCAGGCATGGCAATCATTTTACATTTTAATAAAATGTAACATTAAAATTTTCCCCTTTACTCTATTTTTTAAAGTCCAGAACCCATTTTTTAATAATAATATCAATAGCAGTGGATTTTACATAGCAGTTTATAGAGTGGAATATGATAAAATATACCACACAAAGATGAAATATAAAAATTAATGTAGACATATAAAGATTAAAAATGAATTATGCCAGTTATTTTATGTGTATTGAGTTTAAAAAACATAATTCATGTTGACATAGTCATAAAATATTGGAAAAGACTTGTAAAGTCAACTTTACTCCATGACTTTGTCATTTGAGCTCAAATTTATATAATTACCACTATGTCTTGAATATCATTTTTGTATATATCATTTAGATTTTAAACTATTATACCAGTATAAGCTCTTCATTGTTCATTAGTTGCTATCTTGAACTAAAGCAACCAATTTTTATTTTCTCTAGAGAAAATTTGAAAGCAGACCAAGAACAATATAATTACTTTTTGTCCACAAGTATACAAGTACATATCTCTTTTGAAAGAAATTGCATTTTACAGTTTAATTTAGTTGAACACATAATTTTGTAACTTTATAATCTTGAAATGATACTAGTTTATCTAAACCAGTTAAGCCAATAGGATTTAAGAAATTCAAATTGATCAGGTTTACCATGAAAAAATATATCCAAGACCAGCAAAATTTAGAATATTGTAGAAATATCTTTATTTTTAATAGCAATTTTAGGTTCACAACTGAACTGAATGGACAACAGAGTTCCCCTGTAACCTCTGCTCCTACGAATGCATGGCCTCCCCAACTACCATCCCACATCAGATCAGTACATTTATTCAAATCAATGACCCTGCATTAACATACCATTATCACCCAAAAGTCAAAGTTTACATTAGGGTTCACTCTTGGTGTTCCACATTCTGTGGGTTTTGACAGGTCTATGGCATGGGTCCACTCTTACAGGACCATGCGGAGTCACTTCACTGCCCTAGAGATCCCTTGTGCTCCACCTGTTCATCCTTCTTCCCCACCAGACTCTGGCAACCGCTGATCTTTAACTATCTTCATTCTTCTGTCTTTTCCAGAATGTCATATAGTTGTTATCAGACAGTAGATAATCTTTTCAGATTGGCTTAATTACCTAGCATAATGCATTTACATTTCCTTCATGTCATTTCATGGTCTGACAGCTCATTTATTTGCATCATTGAATAATTTTCCATTTTATTGATCTACCAGAGGTTGCTTATTCATTCATCTTGAGGGAATCATCTACTGCTTCCAATTTTGGCAACTATGAAGAAAACTGTTATATGCATCTGTGTGATTTTGTGTGGACTTAAGTTTCCTGCTCACTGGGTAAATACCAAGGAGCATGAGGCTGGATCATGGGTAAGAGTACATTTGGTTTTGAAAGAAAGTGCCAGACTGTTTTCCAATGTGGCATGCTGTTTTGCCTTCCCTTTGAAGATCACTTCTGAAAATGTAAAAGGTATTCTGATATTGTAGCTCAGAATATACCTTTGTTTATAAAACAATGTGGTGCTCTTCCAAAAACAAAATAGCATTTTTCTATTTGCCCTCACTTTAACTGCCGTCATGGCTCTGAAATGAAATAAAGATATTCAGAAGATAAATTTTGGAAGAGAGGGAAGTGCAAGAAGAGATTCAATAAAATTACTTTTATACGCATTAAAAATGCATTATAAGTAGTATTCAAATTAATTCACAATAAGTCCGGACTATTGCTTGGATTGGATTAATGTTTAGAAATACTGAACACAAGAAGAATGTCTCATATATACCGATTTTATTTTCAGATTTCAGGTAGTTAGACACCCATCATGTTCCTAGAAGCCCAGGAACAACCAAAGCTGCTCAGTAAACCCAACACCTGTCCAATAGGAAGCCATGTCAGCTGTGATTACAGCTTTTTTTCCCTTCCCTGTAACATGGTAAAACCAAACCACAATCTGTTTAGTGACCCTTAAGGGAAAAAAGAAGGCTGACTTATGGAAGGAAAACTTGGGTCCATGGGAAAAGAAAATGGCTTTTCACTTTTGTAAAGGATATAATGGTATAAAATCTCCCTCAGCACCTTTTAATTTACCAAGCTAGTTAATTTTATATCCAAGTTAGCACAAACTAGAACAATTCAGACTAGTATTCTGTGTGATTTATATAGATATTTACACAAATTGGTAGAAATGAACAGAACTGAAGGATACCTGGCACAGGTGTTTTGCAAGCTCTCTCTTAAACCACTGTGAAAATATCTCCATGGTTTCTAGAAAGTAACCCCAGCTTTTGGAAGAGATATTATAAGAGATTATTTGGTCAAACATCACAAAATCTGGTCACGAACTGTGTAAGCAATTCCACCGAAAGAATGGAGGCTGTGTAAGTACCATAAACTACAACTAAATGCAGCTGAAGGACTTACAGGCCTAATGAAGGAGCAGCGGAGGTGGGATTGTAGTCCAAACAGCCATTTACATAGTTATTGGTGGAAATATAACTATGGAAAGAAATGTTAGGAACTGGAAAATTTACACGCAAATCATCAAGTTTTAGAGAAACATCATTGTAGATACATATTTTATCCCAACTTTCATGCAGACAACATTCAGGAAAATAGTAAATGGATTTTTACTTTGATATCCAAAAAGCACTTAATACTGCTTACCCTTTTTAAATTTCTGACCAATTGTAGAAAAAGACCTACAGTTGGATGTAACCACCAGTTGGTTGTGGGAAGTAAAGTGGGTATTAACACATCTGAATTGAGTAGTTAGCACAGATCTTGCTTTTTATCTTGGTTATGCTCAAAATCACAGTATTTCCTATAACTGATGCTATTTTTGTACACAATTCTACAGCAGAAGGCAGCAATAGTAAGAGCAATCTGCCACAGAGTTAAAGGCAAATTAAGGAATTTAATTGTTGATCAATGGATAGAGCTCATCAAATGAGTTTTTATATTTAAAAATACCCCAGGTAGGAGGCATGTTATCCTCATAATTCATCATCTTGACTCCTGTTT